TATTCCTAAAATTACAAGCAGAATACCCTCAAGCTTTATTAACACGTCAAGCTTAAATATCCCTCATAATCTGATACTAGCAGACCCAACATTCAATGAACCTGGTCCAATCGACATTTTGATTGGTGCTGATCACTTCTGGGATCTGCTCATGGTAGGGCAAGTAAAGCTTGGCAAGCATTTGCCTACATTGCAAAAAACTCAATTTGGTTGGATTGTCTCGGGCACTATACATTCACCCCAATTCATACAACCTCCTAACATTTCTATCTCATGCAATCTGAGTACTTCTGATCAGGCTATTCATTCACAAATAGCTAAATTCTGGGAAATTGAAGAAATCAATGTTCCTAAATCCTCATCTTCAGATGACATTCTCTGTGAAGAACTATTCAAAACTACTACTATTAGAAACTCGTTGGGTCAATTTATCGTCCAACTACCGTTTCAGAAACCGGCTTGCTCTCTTGGCGATTCAAAAGAAGTAGCAACCAAATACTTATTCAATTTAGAAAAGCGATTACAAAGAAATCCTGAACTAAAGGCAAATTATACAGATTTCTTAAGCGAATACGAAGCTCTTGGTCACATGACCAAAATAAATGACTCTGAATTATCAGACAAACCTTGCTATTATTTGCCCCACCACGGTGTGGTAAAGGAGTCTAGCACTACCACCAAGTTAAGAGTGGTTTTCAATGGATCAGCTATAACAACTAGTGGCTTATCGCTTAATGACATTTTAGTAGCTGGTCCAACTATTCAAGATGATCTATTTTCCATAGTTTTGCGAGCAAGAAAACATAATATTATGCTGACTGGAGACATAACTAAAATGTACCGGCAAGTATTGGTAGATTCATCACAACGCTCGCTACAACTTATTCTTTGGAGACCTAATCCTGATTCAGAAATACATACGTATAAATTAAATACGCTTACATACAGTACAGCACCGGCAGCCTTTCTGTCTACAAGATGCTTAAAGGAACTGTCAATACAATGTAAAGATACACATCCAGACATTAGCAGAATAATCGCAAGGGACTTTTACGTTGATGATCTTTGCACAGGGTGTTCATCAATTGATGAAGCAATATACCTTAAACAAAACCTGTCTGAAATTCTCATTTCTGGTGGCTTTCCACTCCGTAAATTCATGTGCAATGCACCGGAAGTACTTTGTGAGCAATCTGAAGGGGATAATACTATATTAAATTTCGGTGAGGATTGCAATAACAAAACTTTAGGTCTTCTTTGGAACTCTCAATCCGACACACTACAATTTTCAATAAAGGCTACTTATAATTCCTGCCCAACTAAACGAAAAATCCTATCTTGTGTCTCTCAAATATTCGACCCATTAGGATTAGTTCAACCTGTAATAATCATAGCAAAATGCATTATTCAAAAATTGTGGCAGCACAAACTTGATTGGGATGAATCAATCCCACAAGACCTTTATACTAGCTGGATTAAATTCCATAATCAACTTCAAGATTTAAATGCATTAAAAATTCCTAGACATGTTCTACCTAACAATCCAGTGCTATTAGAAATCCACGGCTTCTCTGACTCCAGTGAAATGGCATACGGTGCCTGTATATACATTCGATCCTTAGATTCAGAGGGTACTTATCATTGTCACTTACTTTGCTCTAAAACAAGAGTGGCTCCCCTCAAAACAATTACGATTCCTAGGCTCGAATTGTGCGCCGCATTGTTGCTGGCAGAGTTGGGTCATAAGGTCATAATCTCGTTAGATCTTCCTATTACTCATATCTTCCACTGGTGTGACTCAACTATAGTTTTATCATGGATCAAATCTGTTTCTACCCAGTGGAAAATTTTTGTCGCTAATAGAGTGACACAAATACAATCATTAACAAATTCGGATTCTTGGAGATACGTCAATACTCAAGAAAACCCAGCTGATTTGCTCTCTCGGGGTCTTAGCCCTATGTCTTTAATTGATCATTCTCTATGGTGGAATGGCCCTAAATGGTTGCTGTATCCTAAAGAACAATGGCCCACTAGTGCTTCTAGTACTATAGTCAATTCTGATGCACCTGAGAGACGCAAGGAAAAATTAATTTCTTTTCAGTCTACAGTTACTGAAGGACTGGATCTTATTAACAGATTTTCTAATCTTAACAAGCTTCAACGAGTCACTGCTTACTGTTATCGATTCTTTGATAATTGCCGCTTATCCAAGGCAAATCGAAGATCCGGAGCACTTGATGCTCAAGAACTTAATCATGCTCTATATACTCTTATTAGAACTGTTCAAAGGCAAGAGTTTCCGACTGAGTATCAAGACTTATCAAAATCTAAACCTATTAACTCTAGAAGTAAAATCTTACGATTAGCCCCATTCTTAGATGACAAGGGTATAATCAGAGTTGGTGGCAGACTTAAACATTCAAAATTTGATTTTCAAAAGAAACATCCTGCGATAATACCCGGTAAACATGTACTTTCTAAATTAATTGTAAAATAAGAACATTTGCGCCTTCTTCATGCAGGGCCACAATTATTACTAGCTTCAATACGAGAACGTTTTTGGCCTACTTCTGGCAGAAATTTAATCAAACAGGTTGTGAGGCAATGCTTACGTTGTTTTCGCTTTAGTGCGTCTCCTATCCCCTATTTAATGGGAGATTTACCAGAGCATCGAGTAACGCCTCAACGACCATTCTATAATACAGGTACAGACTTTTGCGGACCCTTTTTATTAAAGGATCGGCAAACTAGAAATTATAAAACGATCAAGGCTTACGTGTGTATTTTTGTGTGTCTCTCAACCAGAGCTATGCATTTGGAACTTGTAAGCAGTCTTACTACAGACTCTCTTATTGCCACTCTTCGTAGATTTTTCGCTAGAAGAGGTTTAAGCGCAAATATATATTCTGATCATGGCACCAATTTTGTTGGAGCTAAAAATGAGATTTATAAGTTTCTACACACGAGTGAAAATGAAATTCAATCTATTCTAAATTCTGACAATGTAAAATGGCATTTCATACCTCCTCATGCACCACATTTTGGTGGTATCTGGGAAGCGGGAGTTAAATCTACTAAATTTCATTTAAAGAGGGTACTCGGTCAAATCCCACTTTCTTACGAAGATTTCGTAACTGTTCTTTATCAAGTCGAAGCATGTTTAAATTCCCGACCTTTATCCCAGATTTCCAATGATCCCAATGATCCGCAGTCCTTGACACCTGCACACTTCCTAATTAGAGAACGCATTACTGCTTTACCTGACCATGACTATTCTGCAATTAAAGAAAATTCACTCAGCAAGTTTCAACGCCTTCAAAGAATCATCCAAAGTTTCTGGAAGCGATGGTCAAAGGAGTATATTTCCGAGCTCCAACAACGGTCCAAATGGAAAAAGACCTACCCCACAATTTTAAAGCCTGGACTCCTCGTCTTGGTTAAAGAAGATGGAATCCCGCCAATGAAATGGAAAATTGGTATAGTTGAAGTCACTCATCCTGGTGCCGACGGTATAGTCAGAGCTGTTACCATTAGAACTGGCTCCTCCGTATACAAACGACCTGCCATGAAGATATGTGTACTTCCAGAGGATCTTCCTAACCATTAGTTGCTGTTGAAGCCTACCAGCTATCAAGGGGGCCGGTATGTTTAACTGTTGATCGACCCCTGTATAACAGTTGTCGCACACATCAAGGAACCGGTAACCCTCCGCCCCCGTGAAGCCACCGTGTGTTTGGCCTACGACGTTGACCTTCGACCGACAACTAGTTTTCAGCATTCGAGATCCATTCACTTTGAAATAAAGACTTGTATTCATTTTCAGTGCATATTGTAAATTCAGTTTTTATACTTTATAACGTTTTATCTTTTCAATTAAAGTTTTGGAATAACAATTATATGTATAATAATTCATACACTAACAAAAGAGTCCCTGGCTCAAGTGGTGGGCTGAGAATTGGGGTCAGACGTAGTTGAAGCGGTAGACTATCTAAGTTTATAGTTTTTCCTAATGCACCTAACAAAACTCTTTTTGGTATTGAATTTTTGACCTCGTCAAGTGTTTATGTTATTTTTGAAACGGCGACTCATACACACAGTATAAAATAGTTAGTTTTAAGAATTTGTCATTTTACTCCCAATAAATACACATTTATTTGTCCATGGCATCGTTATGATTAGCTTGTAAAATCCTAAAATCCCTGAGAATTAACTTAGTAAATGTATGTATTAAGACATGGCCACATGTTATCTTTTTACGTAAACTCCATCAGAACACTGGCAGAAAAAACCACAGAATATAATGTACCTCTACGTATGGCATTTATTGACTTTCACAAGGCTTTCGATAGTATTGAAACTTGGTCCTTTTTGTCAGCCCTGAGGGATCGAAATAAAAAGACGCATACCATTGTCTTGGGTAGCTTTCGTCAACTTAAACTTTATCTTGAAGAACAAAGATATACCAATGTGTCTAAAACGTAGAGTTTATGACTAATGTATCTTGCCTGTAGCCACACATGGACTAGAGACCACGGCCTTAACAAAGAAAACCTTAGTGCAGCTCAGTACAACCCAAAGAGTGATGGAGAGGGCCATGCTAGGGATTAATTTGAGAGACAGGATTCGAAATATCGACATTCGTGAAGTGGCAATGGTTTGGACATGTTACTCGAGATAATCCCGAAAAATGGATACAGATATTAACAAACTGGAGACCAAGAGAGAACAGGCGAGGAGAAGGCAGACCACAGAATAGGTGGGCAGATGATATCAAACAAGTCGCGGACAAGCAGTGGATAAGAATTGCCAAGAGTAGAGATCAATGGAAGCAAATGGAAGAGGCCTATGTCCAGCAGTGGAGAATATAGACTGAAGAAGAAAAGGAAGTTATCTTTTTAACTAGAAAAGTTTATCATGAAGTAACGATGTTACTAATCGAGACATTGTTTTCCGTGGTATAATCACTACATAAATTGATCATTCTGTACACTACTTACCTCAAATAATTGTCCAGCTGTGGTCGAACTCGGATGGCACAGCACATCCAGCTTTTGGCCGTTTAACATAATTATAGTTAGAGTTCTTCCCGAACTGGTTTTAACATCGGGCATTGTCAGCTGCTTACTGAGCAACGAAGCTCTCACCACAAACTCGGGACCTACACATTCTCTGGGCGTGTCACCGATATGCGTTTTACTGTTTACCCTGTACAGACGAGAGGCCGCTCTTTGAACTGGGTTCCTCCGTACTTTCAGTCTTCTGGTGTTGATGCCCTGTAAAAGAAATTTTTATATTTAAGAACATTAATGATTTGTATAGCTTTATTAATTATTCCATATTAAGTTATGACATATTTTATCCATTGAATCAGTGAGTTGAAAAAGGTACACATTCTAAAAAATAGAAATTTAAACTGAGATAGCCATTTTGTTTCTAAAGTCAAGTTCCATTTATAGAGCTGAAAAAGGTACACATTACAGTATACAACATCATCTATGCAGAGGTCAAAATATTCCGTTGAGATGAAGAAGGAACCCATTCCTGAAATGTGTACCTTCTTCAACTCGATGGGTGCCTTACAGCGCTAGTGTAGTGGAAGTCCGCACAGATATCTGCCTGCGCATATCCGGCTTCTACACATCAACTGCACACTGCCAGTCATTTATCTGTTGTTTTTTAGTTAGTGTGGAGCTGTGTTAAAATGTAAGCAGTAAATAGTTATAGTGTGTTATTTGTGGCTTTTCTTTTGTAATGTCGAGTTCAGAGAATAAAGATGCAGAGCCACGCCGGAAGAAGGGGAAGTTAAATAAAGAATTATATCGTAAAATAGTTTCGAAACACAATTCAGATTTCTGCTTTATAATCTGAGCCTTCTAAGAATTGCAAGGCAAACAGACGTTGATAAAAGATGTTAAAAGAGACATGGGGAATCTAAAATTTGCATTCCACGACATGTCTTTTACAACTAAGCAGAAATCCTTAGCGAATTGTGCTTCTTGTACTCCCACAGAGTAAATCCGAATAAAATGAGAAAAGACAGCAAATATTTGATTTCACGCAAACAAATCCTATGTATCTCTTGATACGTATTTCGACCTAATAGGTCTCGTCAGAAGAGCTATTCATAGGGGTTCTCAACGTGAAAAATCAATATTTTCTGCCTTTTAAGAAGCAACAATAACATGGCTTCGATACGGACGCACTAGCGACATCTAATTTAACAATCGTAAAAAGAAATTGTAATACGTATCAAGAGATACATAGGATTTGTTTGCGTGAAATCAAATATTTGCTGCCTTTTCTCATTTTAAAGAATTATATGTTAGAGAGATGAACAAAATTGCTAGATAAAAGGGTAAAGAGTTTGTTTCGTTATCGGGTAAACTAATCGAAGCTAAACAAACTGGCCCTGATTGTCAATGTAGGAAATAGTGCATGTCAAAGATATTAGATGAAAACAAAAAACATATTTTAGAAAAGCTTTATTATAATCGTTCAGAAGTATGTCGCAAAGCATTCATAAGTTTGCATGTAATTTCACACAAGATAGTTATCAGACTTACAAATCTCTTGGCTAAGTAAATGTCTCCTGTTAACATAAGAGGCAAGCATTTAAATCGTGTTAATACTATTCCAGTCACTATAACTACCAAAATACACGAACATATCGATTCATATTCTAAAGATTTAACCTATTACACTAAGCAATCTATAACCTATTTGGAGACTAAGCTAAATGTACTGAAAATGTATGATACGTTTGTTCAAAAACATCCTAATATTGAAAAAGTAAAGTAGGAGTTTTTTCTAAAAGGTTGAATGTTCGAATAATTAAACTTTGAGGGTATACAAGGCAACTATCGAACACGGTGATTAATTTAATCTTGCCCAAGTACTTTCGATCAATAGATCATCTTCAGGGGCATCTGAAATAAGCCAAGAAACGTTTTTTATAAAAAGGAAAATTAATTCACTTGGATAAAAAACTCCAAGTTTATAGTTGAAAAAAATTTTTATATGTGATAAACGTTTATAGACTTACTTCGTCAATTGTGGCCTATCCGACATAGTAGAATGTCATAAATGTAAAATCTGGACATAACAATACAAAATACAATACACTAAGACAAACAAACACTTTAAAATTTATATGGAGAAGCTACATATTGTATAGAAGCCGGAGACAGAATGGGCTCCCGGTCTGACGGAAATGTAGAGATGACATGTGATAAATGACAGCTTATGAAGGGCAGTTATGTGATCTGCACCTTTCAAAATTCTATGACACTAAGTATTGACCAAAGGTCCAACTGACACCACTATAGGAAATCGACTGATGAAATATAAAATTATATAGTATATTTTTTTTTTATGTAGATTGAATAATCCCAATCTCACACTCAAACCTGTCTATAATAATTAGGATGTTGGTTTGAGAGCAATTAAAGTTGACATAAAGTATAAATGTGAGAAAAGACTAACAATATATTAGACAGTGGATGGTTGACTACAATAAAATGGTCCACCAAGCGCTATCCGTACTGTAAAAAAGAAAAATCTGAATATGCAGTTAAATTACTAAAAGTTAAAATCAAAATTGAAGACAAAATATATAAATGTGTTATAGTTCACGTAGTTCAGTTGAATCCACAGTCAATGGAAGAACTTTAAAATTAATATTGAAATATTCAGTGCATGAGGTCTGAACAGTCGAGCTGGGTCCTCTACGAGGTGAAGCTGTAATAAAGTTTTTAAATATAGGATTAAATTTAGTACAATTAATTTATTATTAATTAATTTATTTAGTACATTTAATTTTAGTACAAATTAATTTAAATTGTACTAAATTTAATCCTATATTTAAAAACTTTATTACAGCTTCACCTCGTAGAGGACCCAGCTCGACTGTTTAGACCTCATGCACTGAATATTTCAATATTAATTTTAAAGTTCTTCCATTGACTGTGGATTCAACTGAACTACGTGGACTATAACACATTTATATATTTTGTCTTCAATTTTGATTTTAACTTTTAGTAATTTAACTGCATATTCAGATTTTTCTTTTTTACAGTACTGATAGCGCTTGGTGGACCATTTTATTGTAGTCAACCATCCACTGTCTAATATATTGTTAGTCTTTTCTCACATTCATACTTTATGTCAACTTCAATTGCTCTCAAACCAACATCCTAATTATTATAGACAGGTTTGAGTGTGAGATTGGGATTATTCAATCTACATAAAAAAAATATACTATATAATTTTATATTTCATCAGTCGATTTCCTATAGTGGTGTCAGTTGGACCTTTGGTCAATACTTAGTGTCATAGAATTTTGAAAGGTGCAGATCACATAACTGCCCTTCATAAGCTGTCATTTGTCACATGTCATCTCTACATTTCCGTCAGACCGGGAGCCAATTCTGTCTCCGGCTTTTATACAATATGTAGCTTCTCCATATAAATTTTAAAGTGTTTGTTTGTCTTAGTGTATTGTATTTTGTATTGTTATGTCCAGATTTTACATTTATGACATTCTACTATGTCGGATAGGCCACAATTGACGAAGTAAGTCTATAAACGTTTATCACATATAAAAATTTTTTTCAACTATAAACTTGGAGTTTTTTATCCAAGTGAATTAATTTTCCTTTTTATAAAAAACGTTTCTTGGCTTATTTCTAATGCCCCTGAAGATGATCTATTGATCGAAAGTACTTAGGCAAGATTAAATTAATCACCGTGTTCGATAGTTGCCTTGTATACCCTCAAAGTTTTTTCTAAAATACTTCAAAGAGAATTTTGGATATAGATTTGGGAAGCCACTAGCTGCCATATGTTCAACTTGCGAAAACCTTCAAACTAAGCTAAAATGCACTACATTAAATGATAATGCTAAACGCACTGCTGCTGCAGAGTTAATAGTGCATAAAAGACGTGAAAAGGAATTTTATACTAAGCTCAATAAAGTAAAAGAGTTGAGTAAAACTAGACCTAATGTCGTGGGGATAGTTTTCGACTATATGCAAAACTTACCGCTACCCAGTTTGCCCGTACAAGAAATGTTTCTCCTGAGAAAGATATGGTACTATGTATTTAATGTTTATGATTTTAAAACAACATTGAGACAATCGGAGAGAAGAAAGATAGACGCCACTGAAATGTTCTGTTGGAGACGAATGTTACGAATTCCTTGGACCGACCGTAGAACAAATAATTCAATTTTAAGAGAGCTAAAAGTTAGCCAACGACTCTCTAGTAAAGTCCATCTCCAACAATTAAAATATTTTGGGCATGTTATGAGAGCAAACACAGAAAACATGGAAAGACTCATAATACAAGGAAAGGTAGAAGGCCGAAGATCACGAGGAAGATCCCCAACAAGATGGATAGATCAAATTATAGGAATATGCCAAAGACCTATGCATGAATTAAAAGAAATGACCAGAGACAGAGATCTTTGGAGACGTACAATACACGACATCACGTCGACCACTACACTCCCCCTGGGGGTCAGGATTGAAGAAAGAGAGAGAGATTTTAAAAATTACAGGACAGTATTCTACACATACCCGAAGGTGTTGCAAACAAAGGACTAGATGAGGTCACTCCTTTTGTATTACGAGTTTATTCAAAATGAAATACTGGCAGAGATTACAGAACTCCACATTTTCAATGATGCACGTGGTGATCAAAACCGCAACTACACTAGGGTTAGGATACTTCACCCTCACTATGAACGGTCGATTTGCGCCAATACATTAGTATTCAGGTAAGAGAACATAGCCTTTTGCCACGTGATAAAAACTTCGCAGTTATTAAGAGAGCAGTACGAAAATATGATTGCATTTATTCTCCAGACCAGTACAAGGTCATCATAGAAAACGCCAAATTCCAGAGGAATACTTGGCCTTTTATGAGGAACGTCGTACTTGGCCAACGACAGAAGCTGAAACCCCCGACGAAAACTAAAATTACAATATTATGTATACTTTTTGGTGGTGGTGGGTAGCGGGTAGGTACCCCTCTATGATCCCGATAGAGGGTAGACTTACTTCAGGGAGGTAGCGCCCCTGCCCACGCGAGTTCCTGGTTTTCCTCTACTCCCTACTTAGGGGAAATCAGGCCCAAACCCCAATATTATCCTACCCAAACCCCAAATTCCTTCCCTATATCCTCCCCCAACTCGCCAACACGTTTTAAGGCCAAACCCCCCGTAAACATGCAAAACACAAACCAAACACGGCCCTCAGTCCCCGGCAGCTCAAAAATCTCTGACCAAGGTAGCGGACAGAAAAGATTAAGAGCAGAGGGTGCTAAGAATACCCGGGATGGACCAGGCTACCACTCAAGACGGCTAAACTGCACAAGAATACTGCATCTTGCATCCTATAATATAAGAACCCTCTCAACCGATCATAAACTAATAGAACTGGAAAACGAATTAAAAACAATAAAATGGGATGTAATGGGACTTAGTGAAATTAGAAGGAGAGGAGAAGAACAATAAACATTGAAATCAGGACACCTGTTCCACTACAGAGGAGAGGAACATTCATCCAGCGGTGGAATCGGGATCATTGTACATACAAAACACATACCCAACATAACAAAAATCGAGACCATAAGCACGAGAGTCATCCTATTGATATTAAAACTAAACTCTCGTTATAGTTTAAAAGTTATACAGGTCTACGCCCCGACAACTGGACACACAGATGAAGAAGTTGAAAAATTCTATGAGGATGTAGCAGAGGCACAAAAAAGAACACGAACACACTATACTGTTCTCATGGGCGACTTCAACGCAAAACTCGGATTCAAACAAGACCAAGCGGAGATCGCGTTAGGAAAGTACGGATACGGGGCAAGAAACGCAAGAGGGGACATGCTTTTAAACTTTCTACATCACCAATGCATGTTTCAAATGAACTCTTTCTTTAAAAAGAAACCCCAAAACAAATGGACTTGGATAAGCCCTGATGGCGCCGTCAAAAACGAAATCGACTTTATAATTACAGATAAAAAATATATAATACAAGACGTGGAAGTACTCAACAAGTTCTCTGCTGGCAGCGATCATAGGATGATAAGAACAAAAGTAATGCTTAACGTTAAAAAAGAAAGAATGAAGCTTGTTCCTAAACCAAATGTTAGAAGATGGGTTCCACCTGAAAATGCAAAACTGTTTGAACGTACGGTCGAAGAAAAATTACAAAACGAAGAAACAGAAAACATAAACATCGAACAACTAAACCAGAAAATAGTCAAAGCTGTGAAACAAGCACAAGAAAAATGTTGCCCAAAAAACCAAAAAGACGAAGAAAAACTAAGTCTAAGCACGAAAACTCTATTAGAGGAAAGAAGACAACTAACAGATAAATACAGAACCAATCTAACAAAAATGAGACAACTAAACAAACAAATCACTAAGAACATCAGAAAAGATATAAGAGACTACAACACCAGAGAGATATCAAAAGTCATAGAAGAGAACAAAAGTTTAAAAGTCTTCAGAAGGAAACAGCAAATAGGAAAGAAAAATATTTACAAACTGAAAAACACAAAGGGCGAAATAATAACAGATAAACAGGAAATTCTACAAACTGTCGGACAATTTTACAGCGAACTCTACAGCAAAACAGAAGAAAATGTTCCAACTGACAACATACCAAAGGTTCTAAACCAGGGCTCGGAAGACATACCAGATGTTACTGTTGATGAAATCAAAAAAGCTCTCCTACAAATGAAAAATAACAAGTCACCTGGCGACGACGGGGTCGTTGCCGAAGCCATAAAATTAGGAGGCGAGAAACTGATACAAATGCTTTCCATACTTTTCACAGAATGCCTTGAAAGAGGAACAACACCATCACAATGGCAAAATGCAGTGATCATTCTAATGTTTAAGAAAGGAGATTTAACAAATCTCGTAAACTATAGACCAATCAGCCTCATCTCACACATATACAAGCTTTTTACAAAAGTCATAACAAACAGACTTTCGAACAAAATGGACTTTTACCAATCATGCGAACAGGCAGGATTCAGGTCAGGCTTCGGCACAAACGACCATCTACAAGTTATTAAAAGCCTCATCGAAAAATGTATAGAGTACAATAAACCCCTCGTCCTAATATTTGTGGATTATGAGAAAGCATTCGACACAGTAAACCACCAGAAAATGCTAGAAGCTTTAAAAGAGTGCCGAATAGATCACCGTTACACCACTGTCATCAAAAATATCTATGATAATGCCACGGCATGCGTCAGACTCCATGAAGATACACACAAGTTCAAAATTCATCGCGGAGTTCGCCAGGGAGACACCATTTCGCCAAAACTGTTTACAACATTATTGGAATACATGTGTAAGCGTGCAAACCTAGACGAAAAGGGCATAAACATAAATGGAGAGCAGTTTAGTCACCTCAGGTTCGCGGACGATATAGTCCTGATAACAGACCGCATAGATCATGCCATCGAAATGTGCGAAAGACTCTACCATGCCTCTACACAAGTTGGTTTAAAGATCAATAACTCAAAAACACAAGTGATGACAAACCTTGTTCTGAGTGAGAACATCAACATAGCTGGAACAAGTATAGAACAAACATCAGCATACAAATATCTGGGACACGAAATTCGCTTAAGTAGAGATAACCAGACCAATGAACTAATACGTAGAATAGGGTTGACATGGGCAGCTTATGGAAAGCTAAGAGATGTTTTCCAATCAGCCCTTCCCATCTGCTTGAAGAGAAAAGTCTTCGATCAATGTGTGCTGCCAGTTCTAACCTATGGTGCGGAGACGCTAACACTTACTAAGACGTCCGCAAATAAAATTCGAACAACACAGAGGGCAATGGAACGGTCCATGTTGGGATTAACCCTGAGAGACCGAATACCCAACACAGAATTGCGCCGTAGATCGGGAGTAACCGACGCAATCAAAAGAATATCAACCTTAAAATGGAACTGGGCAGGGCACGTCGCGAGAACGAAGGACGGCAGATGGACAAAACGCATTCTTGAGTGGAGACCCAGACAAGATGCCTTTAGAAATAGAGGACGACCACCAACAAGATGGACGGATGACCTGAAACGGACACATCAAAATTGGATGCAGGCGGCTCAGGACAGAAATTTGTGGGGTGAACTACGGGAGGCCTATGTTCAGCAGTGGACGAGTATGGGCTAAATGATGATGTATACTTTTTCTATGAATCATGTATGTATTTCAATATTATATTGCTATATTTCAAACTATTGTGTTTTGTGTAGCCTTAAAATCCCATTTGCAAGTTATTGCGTGTAAATAGGGACACGTTCCATTATCTAAAATTCTAATAACTTACACAAAGTATTAAAAAAACCAAAACCACCATAACACTTAAATGTCTTCCATTAACTTGTGAAAGTTCATAATTAAAACATTTTCTGTAACATATTTAGTTTTGCAAATAAATAGTTTTTATTGGTTCCCGAAAAATAGCCATTTTGGAATGTGTACTTTTTTCAACTCACCGATTCAATTGTTCTAGTGCGGTGTTGAGAAAAAGTATGTGACAGATAGCAATAACCAATGTGTCAAATATAAGAAGAAAAACAGGAGGTAAAACCATTTTTAAACTAGGAAGATGGAGAAAGAAAATAGGAACCTGGAAAAGATAATTAGGAGGAGTTTAAGGAAGAAAATGATAATGCTAAGGAAGACGAGGAAAAATATAAGAAAAAGACTAGAAAGATTATAAATAGTAGCACATGTGATTAAGCATATACAACATATTATGAAATAATTTTTTTTATCAATTATTGTAGATATTATAAAGATTTTTGTATATTTTTCCAAAATATTCCATAATATTGGATATAGAAAAATATCACTTACTTTATTGTTGGTGGTCCCACTAGCTAATCCTTTTGAAACAGTCTCACTTTCAAACTTTTGTTCACTTAAATGTTTATTAAAAAATATATTATCACTAATAACATTTATCTCACTATTTGGTCTATCACTGTCGGCTACATACATAGATTTAGGTCTAACGACAGTACCGGGTACGTGAAACAATTGCCTATTGAACGACAAATCTTCCATGCTGGTACTGGCCTCCTTGGTTATTTTGGGAAGACAGGAGTCCGGGTTTCGGGTTAAACCCATCCATCTTCGCGGAATAGTTCCGAAGTTTTCGGAATTGGTGTCTGTCCTGTAACAAAGAAAAATGTTAATTACTTTTTGAACGAGTGCGGAATTCAATAATGCAAAATTAAGAACCTGGACACAAAAAGGACGCATTTAAAATTATTCTCGTGAGATTATCTCTATCAAGTTTATTTTATTTATTTTTATTTATTTATTTATTAAAACTTACAAACACCACCTAGGTAGTAATTACATGCAAGAGTGCTCATTACTTGGTATAACAATATACACACAAAAAATACAATATTACACATTTATTACACAAAAAGACACAAATTAATAAAATTTTAAAAATTAAGTCCATTCTAATCTATTCATAACATTTTTTAATATCCCTTACACTACAGGTAAAGAGATCTATATCACAGATCTTTATTAACTCATTACACTTATATTGCATATAGTTTATTATTGCACAAGAATTATATGGACTACAAGAAAATAGGTCATTACTGTTTACCCTTAGGTTGACCTTTGGCACATGAAACCTAATAAAGTTGATCAAACCACATGTCTTATATTTAACATTGTTAATGATATTATGAATAAACACAACACAATGCATGTTTCTTCTTTGCTCTAATGACTGCAAGCCAAATATTTGAAGCAACTCTTTTGATGGCGTAAGGTGAGTATACAAATTGTATTTCTTAATTTCCTGAATTTTTATAGTTTCACCGTGAATGATTGCAATCACTTCCTCAGTTGAAATTATATTTGCCAACTTTCAAAAGTCAAAGGTTTTTGTTCTATGCAGAGTGCAATACACTTATTTAATGAATCGTAGCATTTTGGTGACAATAAAAATATAGTTTCGGGACTAGTTTGGGACGGTGGAACGTTTGGAACTATAGTGCGATAATTCAGTAGCTGTCAATAAAACTGTATTTTACTTAACGACTTCAGCATTTCATTTTATCACCGTCGATTCAGATGAATCGAACACAGAGAATTAGAAACATTTCGAAATTATAATTACATTCGAATTGCCCATTGGTCCTTCGAGCTGAATTATATTCAGAGCATCTAATCAATGTATACATAGATCGAGGGAGATTTAGAATAAAAACTCACCTAGAAAAGAAACGAATTTTAGATGGTGAAAGGACGATAGATTAAATGGTAGAATCTCTGGACGATATGTGTAAGGCAAGCAATATAATAAATTGTGAATCACTATCGAGTTTTCTGTAAGAAGAATAAAAACGAGCAAAAATAATAGGTAAAGCATTGGGTCTGGAAGTTAAAAGAAGGCCGAAAAGGGGATTTCCAGGAACAGTCCTCACAGCGACATCGAGTCCCCTTAAATTGAAGTCATTATTAAGAAAATGTAAATCTCCGAGATGTTGAATCGAGTTTATATCTTAACGTAAAAAAAATTAAAAAAGAAATAATAAAGATAAAAAAACAAATAAAAATAATTAAAACTATTAAAATAACAGACAAGTATTTATTCATCGTCATTGGTGCTACAGCCCTATAAAAGAGTCTCGACCTTCCCAAGTCTATTACGCCAGTCAGTTCTATCCATTGCCAACTGTTGCCAGTTTGCTTCGCCTATTTTTCTAACATACTCATCTACACCATCCCTCCATCTGAGTTTTGGCTTACCCCTACTTCTACTTCCCACAGGTTGTGACATACGGATTCTTTTAGGAGGGTTGTTCTGCTGTGATCTTGCTAGATGTCCTGCCCATCTTAGTCTTCGTATTTTTATAAGAGATACTATGTCTTTACCACCAAATATATACATATTTATATTTGTGATATATCTCGTAGTTGTACCTCCTTCTCCAAACACCATTTTCACAGATGCCACTGAAGATTCTTCGCAGGATCCTTCGTTCAAATATAAGCAGGAGGTTTTCATCTGCCTTGGAAATGGTCCATGTCTCCGATCCATATGTTTACAAGGGTTTTGTATATGGTTATTTTTGGTTTTTGGCTTAAGTTTATGCTTCTCTTATGTCTACTCAATCCAAAATAGCATTTGTTTGCTAGGGTTATCCTTCACTTGATTTCTTCCGTCATGACGTTCTCCTTGGTGATCAGTGAGCCTAAGTATGTTAATTTGTCCACCACTTCAAAGGTAGAGTTATCAAGAGTAAATTGGTGGCCGACGTTTCTGGCTTTATTGTTGGGTGTTGATGCCATTATCTTAGTTTTCTCCTCATTTACTTGCAGGCCCATATTTTTTTAGACGTTTGACAAGGTGGTATATATTTCTTCTAGTTTGCGTGTTGTGCAGGCAACTACGTCAACATCATCTGCATATGCTAAAATTTGGGATGATTTATTAAAAATGTTTCCTCTGTTGTCTATTAGGGCATCCCTGGCCGCCTTTTCCAGGGCTATGCTGAAAAGGAGACACGCCAGCGCATCTCCCTGTCGCAGCACAACATGCTCTTCAAATGCCTGTGATTGTTTGCCCTGTATTTCGACTTTGCAAACAACTTTACGCATTATAGCCTTAACCAATCTTATCAGTTTTTCGGGGATGTAAAATTCATCCACAGCTTCATATAATTTCTTTCCTAGGACACTAGCATAGGATGATTTAAAATCTGAGAAAAGATGGTATGTGTCGATATTGAATTCATTGGTTTTTTTTCTAGTATTTGTCTTAGCACAAAGATTTGGTCTGTTGTTTATTGACCAGGCCTAAAACCACCTTGATATTCGCCAAGAAGCTCTTCTGAATATGAACTCAGGCGATTATATAAAATTCTCGAAAATATTTTGTATGCTGTATTAAGGAGGGTTATTCCCTATGGTTTCTATATTCCAATTGATGACCCTTTTTGTGTAGCGGGTAAACGATCCCAATACACCACTCTTCCGGGATTTGTTGCTCATTCCAGGCTCTCAGTATGATTTTATGTATATGGTTAGTCAGAGTAGTACCTCCACATTTAATAAGTTCCGCGGGTATACCATCACTTCCTGGTGATTTATTATTTTTTAGGTCTTTTATTGCATCCCGTACTTCTTGAATTAATGGAGGCTCCAATGGTGTATTGTTGATTGCTCCAGGGAGTGGTTGATTTGGATCTTCTACCACCCACCTTTTCAATACTTCTTCTTTTGTATTGAGTATATACCCCTTCGTATCCTTACATAGTTCGATCCTTGGTTTAAATTCTTTTCTTGCATTATTTGGAATTTTATAGAATTTTCTTGTTTGATTTTCTTTTTTTAATGTCTCAAGTTCTTCCAATATTCTATTTTCATAAGTTCGCTTTTTTCTCGGACATATGTACTTCTCCTCTCTTCTGAGATCTTTATATTTTTGTTCTTTTTTCGGGTTCTTCTTTGCTGCATCAGTTTATATGCATTGTTCTTTCTTTTTGTAATGTCCTCGCACTCAGCATCGAACCACTTATTGCCTGGTGATGGTTTTTGCGGCCCTAGAATATTATTTGCTGCATTTTTAATATAATTTTTACACATTTCTCATTGTTCACTAATTGTTAGATTCTCTTCTCTTCTCTAGTTATGTATTTAGTTTCGATATAGTTTTGAAACCTTTCTACCGTTTGTGGATTTTTGAGGAGTTCAATATTAAGGCGCCTTGTTTTGGACTTCTCTCCTTCTTCGCATTTGAGATTCTAGCCCAAATTCTTGTGCCAATTAGAAAATGATCTGAATCAATATTGGCGCTGCGACAAATACTTATTAAATAAAATTAATCAAAACAGTGAATTATTTCAATAATTGTAGTATGTTTGTACGTATAAATAATAAAATTTGGAGTTAGAAATACAGAAAAAATTACTCTGACTGTAAAAAATTTGTTTGTTTTAAAATATCAAAATGTCTGGCTAATTGGCTCGACCAAGGCCATCATACTCACAAATAAAAAACTAAAATAAAAAAGTTCACGCCATGGACACGATTCGAACCTGCGCGGGAAGAGCCTAGTTGATTTAAGAGCGTATGCGCAAAATTTCGCGCCAATGCTTTTTAAATGCATTCATTTTTTTCGAATCCTGAGAAAACTAATAAATATTTTTGAAAACTTTAAATACAGAATAAAAGAATACATTATTACCGAGGGTTAAAAGTCCCTGAAAACTTCTATAATGTTTATTTTAATAAGTTACAGGGGTGAAACAAAAAAGGAAAATTTAGTGTGATTTTTAATTTTAAATATCCCATTCAAAAAAACTTTTTGTTTATTCTAAGGGACTTTCGGCCCTCGGCAATAATGTAATTTTTCATTTTGCGTTTAAATTGCATTTAAGAAGCATTGGTCCGAAATTTTGCGCCTATGCTCTTAAATTCCATTTCTTTACCTACTTGACAACACAGCTTGATGTAAGATGGCTTATACTACGCGATATCTAACTATAAGGACTTAAATAAATTTTTTTAACTTTCTTGGAACCAGAAGGTTAAAAACTTTCAGTTTCATAATTCCCTCCACAAAATCTTTAATGCTGAATTTTAATCTGTCATTAGTTTGTCTGTAACTGTAACAGTTTGGACTGCAATATTTAACCATGGGGCTCAAGTACCACATAAAACTAACAGTCCATTTTTTTTCGATCCAATATTCTAAGTTATACATATATTTTTTGTATTTAACGCTTAAAATATGAAAACGCACTACTAAAGTGATTTACATACTTCAAACAAACACCTCTATTAGGAAATAGAGATCACATCTGGCTGAAATGCAGCTCCGCATAAATTTCCGCAATTCTATGGTGTGCATGACTGGCATACATTCGTGTAATATACATCTATCCCGTGATAACTATTTTGATTTAAATTAGTTTGAGAGCTAAAATTAACTTGTTTATGTTGTTCCTGTTTATTCTGCTTTGTTCGGTAATGACGAAACTTCAATAACTCAACAATAAAAATAACTAAAAGTTATGGGTTTTAGTTTAATATCATTGTTTGGTTATTTTGTACTAAAACAACAAAATAAAGAGACAGCTATTTGTAGAATGCAACTAAGTAAGAGCCTGGATTCCATTTGGACTTAAAAAGAAACAG